TTCACTTTCGAGGCAGTCTTGGAAGCCTAATTTTTCCTGGGAAGACTTTGCCCTTATTCGAACGCTAATGCAATGGCTCGTATTGTAAAACTTATACGTGGCACTGAACTTTTATATGCACTACATTGTGTGAGCCTGATGTTGATCCACCAAAAATGGCCTTGTTGACGCTCTCTTGCAAGCTCACAGCACACTGTCCGTTCTCCGTCACTACTCACTGTTTTCATGCATGGCCATTCTGTAATTCACGCGTTCAATACGAATAATTTAGAGTGTGTGTGGATCTCACTACTTCGTATCAACTCCGTGAAAATAACAGCGTCTTACGGTTACATCTTCCACTTGTTGTTTTTCAAGCAGCCATTTCCGGATTTGTAGCAACGAGCGGCGCAATCACTATGATGTTTCGAAATCAGCTTTCACCTGTCAACTATCGAGTGATATTGGCTTCCAGCAATGTGAGTAACCCTTCAAATGCAGAATTGAAGCATCTGGGTAGCTTTTTAAAACCGAAGAGTACACAAAACAAACCATCGTGAGAAGGAGTTTTTAAGACCGATAATTGATAAGAGATTAAGACTCGTTCATTTAATCAAATTGAATGCGATAATGAAAGTACGATGAACTGCAAGCGTTGTTCCTATTTCTTAACTTTAGGCCCATTCGAAGGTGAAATCTTACTCCCCCAGTGTGATGACAACATTCCTTTCATAAATTCCCCTAACTAGCCAAATAATTTCAGCCCTTTTTCTAACTAACCAAATAATTTTAGCCCCGCCACCTGTTACCACCTGTCGTCGGACCAGCGCTCTTTTAAGTCTCAGACCAATCTCCGAGCCTTGAAGGTGGTATCCGGGGAAGCTCTTATGAATAATAGTGCCACTTAGACGACCACACCACTAAAAGCGAGTATCGCTCAAAAGTCAGTGACTTCAGAGCCCGCCCTGGTAAGATTATATACACCAGTGGTTTGTCCCCCAACAGCAGCCGCGGCACGTCCTCATCATTGCGGACTGTCGGGTCGCAATCAGCGGTTCCCACCTGCGGCCTTCCCACCAGTGGCTGATTCCTTCCTACATCGATCATTGCTCGATCACCATTGGTAGAGCAAGGCAGCCGGACGCGAGCTCGTGCTGCGCTCGCCGCCCCCAACAATGTTACAAACTACAGTTGATATCACCGCGACCATTCGGGTCAGAGTCAGTCGGTCCCACCTGCGGCATTTCCACCACTGGTTGTTTCCTTCTTGAATCAGTCAGTACTCGATCGCCATTGGTAGAGCAAGGCAGCCGCATACCGCGCTGCGCTCGCTGCCCCCAACTCGTTGCAATGTTATAAACTTACATACATACATACATAATACTACGTACATACATACACCTTGTGTATATACACGTGTACATACATGCATTTATGCAATACATGCACACATACACATACACACACCGGTAATCATGAATGGGATGAAAACAATATCACCTACCTCCTACCTTCTGCCTTGAGGCATACTGCAAACCTACCCTCTGAATGTGTTTTATAGATGATACCACAATCGCAGTGTCGCT